TTGTGTTTGGTTTTGGGGATCTTTTTTGGGGTTTTTTTTGTGTGTCCGTACCCCCTCCTTTTTTTTCTTTTTGGGTGGGAAGGAGGTGAGGAGGTGGCGGGGCGTGCATCTCCGGACAGCCCTGCCTGGTACGGCTTGCACCAGCCAGCGCTTCAGCCCCTCTCCTCCTCCTCCTTCTCGCACCTTGCCTGCCTGCTCTGTCCTAAAGCACCAAATGTGTTTCATTTTGAAGTTTTTCTGGAAAAGAGAGCATTCAAAGGGTGAGAGGCAGCTGCTGGTAGCATGTGCTTGGATTTGGCGAAGAAGTGTGTCATCAGTAATTCATTTATTTTAGACGATCCAGACCTGAAAGATATTGACCCTATGGTATTAAAACATTGCCATGCTGCGGCTGCAACGTGTATTCTGGAGGCAGGAAAGCAGAAAGCTGACGTATCTGCTATAAGGTACCAATACTTAGAAGCCTCCTCATTTTTCTAGTGGTTCTGACTTTAAACTGTACTATGGAGCTAATGTGAACAGAAAACTAATAAATTATTTTTCTTTGTAGCACATGTCTAGAAGACTGTAAACTGGATAAAGACAGAATAGAACAATTTTGCACCGAATATCAGGTTTTAAAACTAATTCTAACGTATTTGTGTTTTCTTTCTCTCATAGGTATTTATTTAACCTACCTATTTTTTTTTCTTTTCTTTTTTTTTTCCCCTCCAGAAAAACAAGGATGCATTGGAAATCCTATTGGGAAGGTAGGTCCATCACTCAGCACAGAAGTATAGTCTCAATTACAGCTAGTTTGAAACTGTCCTAGAAAACATCTATGCATACAAAGTAAGAAATATTACTCCATTCAAAAAAAAAAAGGTACATTTTTAACAAACTTTAGAAAACAGTTGTTGAAACTTTTCTTCCTCCTCTCAGAATTGTACTCTTAAGAAACTTTAACTTTTCAACAGGCAGTACAAGGATCATGAAAAATTCTTTATTGATGGACAGCTTTAGAAAATGACATTTTCCTATAGTGTTTTTTGTAGGGAACTTGTATCCATTGTGTCTTTCAGCATAGGCAGATCTCCTCTCCATATAACTGATGTGTCTTGGCGCTTGGAATATCAGATCAAGGTAATTTTAACCCAACAAAGTGCTGCTTTAGTAATTTTCAGTGCTGAGACCTGACTTTTTTCTGTGCTCTTTTTTTTTAATTTAGAGCAATCAACTTCATAAAACTTACCAGCCTTCCTACTTGGTGACCTTAAATGTAGAGGTATTGTACTCTCAGCACCCTCAGAGGGGAGAAAAAGCTATTTGGCAACATTTTGTTTAATAAAACAGGCCTTTTTTTTTTCTTCAGAACAGTGATTCAGGACCACACCCAGATGTTAGTTTTAGTTGCACGATGGAGCAATTACAGGTACTTCTTTCCTTCATCATTCTTTCTATGCTTGGCTCCAGTTGTGGATGTAAATGTTTTTAACAACTTGTCAATCAAAATGAAATAATACATACTATTTTTTTAAAAAAATAAATAAATAAATCTAGGACTGGGCGGGTAGGGGAGAATCTTCTATAAAAATTACCAGAGTGTAGTTTTCCTGACTTCTCAAATAAAGTTGCAAAGTAACTGATTTTAGTTGCATGGGGAGTGTTTTACATACATGCATAGATAATTTGTCTCTTTTCCTAACTGTAATATATTTATATATGGAAGGAAATACATCACTTTTTTAAAACTCTGATTTAGAGAAATTATTAAAGAAGCCGATTCCATTATTCCAATGTGTCATGATTAAAAGTAGAGAAGGAACTGAAGGCTCTTCAGTGGTGTTAATGACATGTAAGAAATGTACTGAAACAAACGTTGATCTTTGTTTAGTGATTTAAATGTGTAACTGAACAATAGAGGTATTGTAATGCTGGGAAGTGACCAAACTGTGGAGGATTGGGATGAGGGGTTGGGGGCAGAAGAAAAGCAAGATATTAAAATGTCAGGTTTGCACCTCTGCTTTTTTAATGTGTGTCCTGAAAGTTGTCCTTTTCTTACTGAGTGTTTTTAATGGGTTTGTTGACTTAGTTAAATCTGATATGCTTTGGCTGGAGAATGGTCCTCATACAAAATTGCACTCAAAATATTTTCAGTATTTTAGAAATGTGTATAGTGCTTCAATGCCTAGAGCAAGTGTCAGCATAACCAACGTTAACTATACCGATAAAATCTACATGTTAAGAGCAATGATCTATTTTAGTAGATAATATATGTTAAAAGGTATTTTCCTTCAGTTCCCACTTCTCTTGCTGCGTTGAAAAATAAGGAGCTACTTAATTACTTGTTGGCATTATTCATCAGTTCCAACATTTCTTTGTGATACAGAGTGGTGGTTTCCCTTGCCACTCTGCATATATATATAAAAAAAACACTTAGGTTCTTGTGTCTGACATTTTAAAAAAACTATGTTTATGTTAAGACAGTATTTCATCTCTTAGGATTTAGTTGGAAAACTAAAAGATGCTGCAAAAAGTCTAGACAGAGCAACTCAGATGTGACTGAAGGAAGATGTCAGCCTGCTGAGCTGAAGTACTCTCATTCCTAGGAGTGTCTTCTAAATGACAAATGTATTTCATCTCTTGATGCAAACTGTTCTTTTTTTTTTTTAAGTCCTCGGTTTTGGATTAAGTAAAATAACTTTTTTTATGACTGCACTTGGTGTTCCTTGCTCGTGTCATGTTTTTTTTAATTAACTCTTGTTAAATACTTGCTATTTAACACCACAGTTAACTGTGGTGTTTTCAAAGCATTCCTTTTATTTTATTTTGTGTATTTTTAGAATTGTCACTGATTATTTTTCTCTGGGATCTAATAAAGTTTATTCGCTCTGGTTCTGTACTTTTTCTGGGTGAATTAGCTGTCCCTAGAAGTAAGATGTGAAGCGCGAGGTCGGCTCCGTGAGGCGCCGATCCCTTCCTCCCGAGCCGCGGCTACGGCGCGTTTGCTAAATTGCCCCCCGCGCTTTGTTATTTCACTGCAACCGCTCCTGCACCGCCTGCGAGAGCAAAGGTTGGTCCCGGCGCGGGGGCAGAGGGACGTCACTTTAATTTGAAGGAGTCGGGAGCCCGAGGGGTCGAGCGGAGCGGGGCGTCAGCTCCGGCTGGACGGCGTTTCTCC